AAAAAAACAGATTCTTTTTACAGGTGTTTCCTTTTTCCGGTATTATGTAAATTGATACATTTTTCTTGATATTATCAGGAATTTAACATCCACAATTTAAAATCTGCAACATAACAGTAAATTATTAAGAACTGATAATAGCATTATTTACAGTGTGGTTTCAAGTGTCTGCATTATCAGCTGGAGCTTCAGCTGACACCGTTTTTACATTATCTATGTTGCATATTAAGAGTTGTTCCATACGTTTGCTGTAAATTTTATTGATTGCTTTGGTTTTGTGGCTTTTTGTCGATTAACACCTCTGAAACAAACCTTCTTCTTCTTCTTCTTCTTCTTCTTCTTCTAATTATTATAATTATAACAATAATTATTATTATTATCAGAATCTGATTCACATTCACACATGTGAAACAGTGAAGAATGACTGTAGAGTTTATCCATGCAGAATTTGATGAAGGAAGAAGGAGGAGTCTGATGGCTGGATCCAAGCCTTCCTCCTCCTCCGTGTCCTCCTCCTGCTCTTCCTCCTCCTCCTCTTCTTTGACCTCCTTCAGACCATCAGAGAGCAAAATTCATCCTGCAGCTCTGAATGTGGGACTCCTGCACTTGGACGCTCATGCAGCAGCAGCGTATCTGTAAGTAACCACATCTCTTTGGTTTTTGACTTATAAGACTCGTGTTGTGCTTAAAAATTCCTTGAATAATCAGAGAAGGCTCATTTTGGATAGTTTTAGTCTGTAAAGTTTTGCATGCACAGTTTACTTTTCATCCTGTATTTTGTGTTTTTGGGGTTGCACAATTCTATATAAAAACCAGTTCCTTTTTGTTTGTTCATTTAGATTTTGTTGTTACTTATTTCCTCTTTTTGCACTGGGGAAATGTAAAAATGTGCATGATTAGATCTTTTTTATTTATTTTTAAATAAGCACAGATTCAGTCATACTTTATTTCTTTAATATACATTTTTTTACACAACAAAGATTTTTTGTGAGAAACAACAGTTTCCAAAGCCCGAGTTTGAGATGCAAATATTTAAACATTTAGTCAGTGCAAAAGTAATGAGAATTAACAGATAAATATTGACATCAGTGAAAGCCATCTTCTTGTCTAAACATCCAT